CTGGAGCTGGGGTGGGCAGAGCTGTGGCTGGGGGGCCAGAGCTAGGTTGGTAGATGGAGAGGAGCTGCAGCTAGGGCCAGAGCTGGGCTGTGGCTCCCTCCCTGCCCCCTATGGGGGCTGGCTCGGGCCCTGCCAGACGCGCCCCCCCCCCAAACATTCCTCTGCGCCTCCCTGCGGGAGACCACACCCCATAGTTTGGGGACCAGTGGCGTAGGCAATTTTAACAATATGCATCATCGCATGTGCCTACACTATTCTACATGGGGTCTTACCCCATCACCCTTGTAGTTGAGCATCTTCCACTCATGAATTAAGTGACGTGATTAACCCGTTACATGTGATTCGTTCTCTCTCCCAAGGGGGAGAGTCGTGTGTGTGTAGTGGAGCAGTTTGTTTTGGTAGGGTTTTGTTATTTGAAGTGCATACGCTACATGTTTATGGGAAGGCGGCCATCTTGGCTGACACACTAGGAACCTCCATAATGAAAAAGCCCAAGTCACGCCAGCTGGAGCTAACGGAGCAACCCTCTCCAGTCAGCACAGATCCTCTGTGGACGAGCACAAAGTGTAACCAGTGACACGCTCACCAGTGGGTTACATGGATATCCAAGAAGACTGCTCAAAGTGCACCTCGCTCTCGGAGCAGAAGGTGGTGAGGTTCTGGATGGTCCTTAGTTCCTGGGGGAGTCCATTCCCCAAGCTAGGACCAGCCACCAAGGAAACTCCATCTCCCTCACTGAGAAGTTTTGCCCTTAAATGGTGCCAGAGGAGCAGAGATGTCAACCAAGGTCTTCATCCTGGAGCTTTAGGCTCTTATAGACACCCTGGGCCTAGTCCACGGAGCGCCTTGAAGACCTTGACCATAACTCTAGCATAGCCTATTGCCCCCAGAATGGGTCTGTTTTCCTTCTCACCAGGTCCTGCTCGCTGTCAATCACAGCCAGGGAAGCGCCAAGTACAGAGCAGTTGCTCCGGCTGTTGTTCCAGTTCTCTTCAGCCTCAGAGAAATAGTAGCATTTCCCTCGGTATCCGATCCAGCTGTCCGGGCACCAGACCATGAATTGGGGCTGTGCTTTAAGTACCAGCACTGAAATTGAGAGAGCAAAATAAAGGTAAGAGCCCATCCTTTCCCTCCCCTGCTCCCCCAGATGCAAATACCCACCAGACAGAAATGAGGAAAGGCTCCAAAGTGCAACCTTAACCCTGGTTTCCTGCTCCTTCCTTTTTATGTGTATCAGTTATGATTAGGGCCCTACCAAATTCACAATTCATTTCCCTAAATTTCATGGTCACCGCATTTTAAAAATCTTGAATTTCATGGTTTCAGATATTTAAATCTTACATTTCACAGGGTTGCAACAAAACATGAATATGTATTTTAAAATGGCAAAATATAAACACGTAAAGCCCTTAAGACTCAGCGTTTCACAAACTGGGGGTCCTGACGGAAAAGGGGATCACAAGGCTATTGTAGGGAGATTATGGTATTGCCACCCTCACTTCTGCGCTGCCTTCAGAGCTGGGTGGCCGGAGAGCAGCGGCTGCTGCCCGGGTGCCCAGCTCTGAAGGCAGCGCTGCAGCCAGCAGCAGCACAGAAGTAAGGGCGGCAATTCCGTGACACCCCCCCCCCACCAACACACACACAATAGGCTCGCAACCTCATTTTGGGTCAGGACCCCCAGTTTGAGAAACGCTGTGTACTTCTGTATACTTTTACCATATAGTATAAGATACTTTTATAGCATTGAGTAAAAGTACACACAAAAAACAAGATTTCACAGTCCATGGTGTGTTTTTTCACAACCGTGAATTTGGCAGGGCCCTAGTTATGATACTATCTTTATGTGACAGAGGGTCCTGTGGCACCTTTAAGACTAACAGATGTATTTATGCTCCAATACATCTGTTAGTCTTAAAGGTGCCACAGGACCCTCTGTTGCTTTTTACAGATCCAGACTAACACGGCTACCCCTCTGATACGTATCTTGATGTGGTCACCTGTTATGTTTTTCCTCAGGACCCCTGCCTCATTCAGTGTGCAAAGAACGGGGCAGGGGGCAGAATTGTGTGATGAATTCATCTGGGGTCCACAGTCCTGAAAAATCTGGCCGCTCCCCTGAGAGTGGGAAGGTGGAAAAGGAGATCTGGGGGATACGGCAGCTAAAAACCAAAATCCCACATCACAGTCAAATACCCACTGTTAAACAGGAAAGCTGAACCTGGCCCACTGCTCCCTGCAGGCTAGAAATGGGACACACCCCTAGCAGCTTTCTCTATCAAAATCCACTTTGGGAGTTACCTCCAGCATATTCACCCCTGGGATTACTCTAGCCAGCCACTAGGTGTCACTGTAAGATTCTAGAGGGGAGATTCTAGAGTCCGGGTCAAACCCGGAATCAACGTAACAGGCCTTTAGTCGTCGCTGTTCCTCGTCAGTGCAGTGTAGACATACTCCGGGAGCTGCAGTTTAGGGTACATCTACACTGCAATAAAACTCCCGTGGCTGGCCCATGTCAGCTGACTTGGGCTCACGGGGCTCGGCCTGCAGGGCTATAAACTGCAGCGCAGATGTCGGAACCCAAATTTATTTTTTAAAGTCACATGATTTCGAAGCCGATCTCATGATTTTGGGGGCATGACCCGTGGTTTGTCCCATGCTCAGGCTGGTGTTGACATACCATTGCTCAGGGAGGTGGTGTTCCAAAACGGAAAAATCTTTGTCAGCGTAGGCTGGGTCTATACTAGAGTATTATGCCGGCATAGCCAGAGTGACGCAGCTATGTCAGTGTAGTCTCCGTAGCGCAGACATCCCCGAGACTGTACGCTCTTTGGAGGAGAAATTCCTTTCCTGTTTGTATTATCTCAGGAACTGACGTTTCTTCCTTTCATTGCAATGATACACACTTACCCAGGAAGACAGTTTAAAGGGCCAGTTTTGTCATCACAAACAAGGCTCAAGAAGGGAGCAGGAGGGAGAGTCTGAAGATGTGTTCCTGGCCCCCACGGCTGATGCCCGAGAGGAGACAGCCTGTGACTCTGGGTATGTCTGCACGACAATGGCACTGCTACACGGCTGCAGCCGTGCCATGATAGTGCCGGAGCGTAGAAACTTCCTACATCAACAGAAGGGTTTTTCCCATCGCTGTAGTTAATCCACCTCTCCGAGAGGCGGTAGCTAGGTCGATGGAAGGACCCTTCTGTCGATCAAGCTGTGTCTACACCGGGGGTTGGGTTGACCTAACTGTGGTGCTCCGGGCATGGCATTTTTCACAGCCCCGAGCAGCGTGGCCAGCTCCACGTAAATGGAACACACAGACACTGGGATCAGCCACTCACCTGCCAGAACAACAACAGCAACAATCAGAATGACAAGTACGACGCTCACTGCAACTGTACATGCAGTACGTTTCCTGAGCCTGCAGCTACGGCCATTACCTGAAAGAGAAAAAGCCCTTAATTCTCCTGAGAGTGGGGTACCCAGAGTCAACAGCTGCACCAGGGTCTGAGCTGCGTTGGTGCAAGGAGCATTGTGCTGAATGGCTGCCGTTATCTATCTATGGAATAGGACCCCAGGAGTGTCAGTCTGTCTGTGTCGCTCTGGAGCCTACAATGTCTGCAGAGTCACTGGGAAGCAATGGAAGTAGCTACTAATATGGCCAAAAGCTCTTTTTGTTCGGAATATCGCCAGGTTCATTCACCACTGACAGCCCCGGCCTGTTACCGCCCAATTTTTAAGTTCTCAGCCATTCAGACTTTACAGCTTACACCCGTGCAGTGTGCAGCTACAGTAAGGGATAGATCTATGCCATGCCCAGAGCCTAGACCAGCGGTTCTCAACCAGTGGTACGGGGCCCCCTGGGAGGCGCAAGCAGGTTTCAGGGGTCCGCCAAGCACGGCCAGCGTTAGACTTGCTGAGACCCAGGGCCGAAAGCCGAAACGCCGCTGTGCAGGGCTGAGGCCTGTGGCCCTGAGCCCTGCCACCTGGGGCTGAAGCTGAAACCTGAGCAACTTAGTCTTGGGGACCCCTGTGGTTTGGGGCCCCGGGCAGCTGCCCTGCTTGCTACCCTCCAATGCCAGCCCTGGCTTTTATATGCAGAAAAAAAACGTTGTTGTGGCACTGGTGGGCCGTGGAGTTTTTATAGCAGCTGTCCTGGCGATAAAAAAAAATAACCACCCCGAACGAGGGCTGGTAGCTTTGTCACTGGGAACGCGGCTCCTGACGATAAAGCGCTGTCTATTTTGGCTCTGAAAAGTGCCAGTACTTTTGTCGCGTCGGGGGGGGGGGGGGGTGGTTTTTTCATCCCTAAAACGACTAAAGTTTTAGCGCTGGAAGTGGCAGTGTAGACACAGTGTTGGAAAGAAAAAGGTTGAGAACCTTTGGCCTAGACCATTGTGATGTCAGAGGTAACTCAACCAATCACCATCCTTACTCCATACCCAATTTGCATGCCACAATTTCATTGGTTGCATAAGGCCTGGTCCACCCTAACCCCCCACTTCGAACTAAGGTACGCAACTTCAGCTACGTTAATAACGTAGCTGAAGTTGAAGTACCTTAGTTCGAACTTACCGCGGGTCCAGACGCAGCAGGCAGGCTCCCCCGTTGATGCCGCGTACTCCTCTCGCCGAGCTAGAGTACCGGCGTCGACGGCGAGCACTTCCGGAATCGATCCGGGATCGATTTATCGCGTCTAGACAAGACGCGATAAATAGATCCCAGAAGATCGATTGCTTGCCACTGGACCCGGAGGGAAGTATAGACCTACCCTGAGGGATGACTGCACAGATAGTGGCTTACTTAGCCCAGCTGCCAGACCTGTGCCACATGATGAATGGGGCTGTTTAATTCCACTCTTTGCTCCTTCCCAGACTCTCCCAGAGCTGACACACACAATGTCCCAAGGTGACTGGCTCCAATCTACCATGGGAGAAAGGAC